AACCTCTGACATCAAGATTTTTTTTCATTTCAGTTAGCAGCAGTTGATGGTGTGAAGGTAGAGAATTTTTTTTCTTCTAGTTTTTCTTCTAGTTTTATTCATTATTATTATTCCATTGACTTAAAGTGCTGTATAAGTTTAAGGTATATAGCATAATGATTTAACTTACTTTTATCATGAAACAATTACCACAGTAAGTTTAGTGAACATCCATCATTTCATATATGCACAGCATTAAAGAGATAGAAAACATTTTTCCCCTATCATTATGTTTTAGTTTAGTGAACATCCAACATTTTATATACGAACAGCTTTAAAGAAGTAGAAAAAAAATTTTTCCTTGCGATGAGAACTGTGAGGATTTACTCTCTTAACAACTTTCATATATAAATACAACCGTGTTAATTATATTTATCATGTTGTACATTTCGTCCCTAGTGCTTATTTGTCTTACAACCGGAAGTTTGGCCCTTTTGACCACTGTCCTCCAGTTCTCTCTCCCTCTGCCCTCTACCTCTGTAACCACATACTTGATTTCTTTTCCTATGAGCTTTTTTGTTTTTGAAGTCTAACTGACTAACTGACTAACAGCACCACGTTAGTTCTAATACACGGCATAGTGATTTGATATTTCTATGTGTTTTTAAGTGAGCTTCCCTGGTGGCTGAGACGGTAAAGAATCCGCCTGCAATGCAGGAGTCCTGGGTTTGACCCCTGGGTTGGCGCGATCCCCTGGAGGAGGGCATGGCAACCCACTCCAGTATTCTTGCCTGGAGAATCCCCATGGACAGAGGAGCCTGGTGGGCTACAATGTATGAGGTTGCAAAGAGTAGGACACAACTGAGCAACTAAGAACAAGCACAGCACAGCACATGTTTTTAAATGATCACTATAATAAGTGTATTATGGTACCATACTAAGATACTACACAATTATTGACTGTATTCCCATGCCCTACATTTCATACCTGAGACTCATTTATTTTGTAACTGGAAGTTTGCACCTCTTAATTTCCCTGATCTTTCTCTCCCCCTACGCCACGCCCCTCTGGCAACCACCAGTTTGTTCTCGGTAATCTATGACTGTTTCTGTTTAGAATGTTTGTTCATTTTACTTTTTTAGATTACACATATAAGTGAAATCATACATTATTTGTCTTTCTCTGTCTGACTTATTTCACTTAGTGTAATACTCTCTAGGTCCATCCATACTGTCACAAATAGCAAGATTTCATTCTTTTTGATGACTGAGTAATATTGCATTTTGTGTGTGTGTGCATATATATGTATGCATATATATATATGCACACCACATCCATTTATCTGTTGATGAGCACTTAAGTTGGTTTCATATCTTGGCTATTGTAAATAATGCTGCACTTAACATGGGGATGCATATATCTTTTCATTAGTGTTTTTGTTTTCTTTGAATAAAGACCTAGGAATGGAATTGCTGGATATTATGGTAGTTCTATTTTTAAATTTTTGAGGAATCTCCATATTGTTTTCCATTGTGGCTACACCAGTTTACATTCTCACCAACAGTGCATGCTGCTGCTGCTGCCAAGTCGCTTCAGTCACGTCCGACTCTATGCGTCCCCATAGACAGCAGCCCACCAGGCTCCCCTGTCCCTGGGATCCTCCAGGCAAGAACACTGGAGTGGGTTGCCATTTCCTTCTCCAATGCATGAAAGTGAAGTCGCTCAGTCATGTCTGAGGGTTCCCTTTTCTACACATTGTAGCCAGCACTTATTTGTTATCTTTTTGATAAAGTCAGTCAGGTATGAGATGAGAATTTCTTTAAAAACAGCTTCAATTTGCTGTTTTCATTTGTTAAAGAATCTCTGCTTGCTTCTTCCTTAAGCTTAAGTTTTTTCAAAGAATCATGTATTAGACAGCATGATAAAAGAATTTATCACAAAATTGATAATAATATTACATATTTTATAAAGTAGTGATTTTGACTGTACATGCTATGAAATTTATTACCCTTCATCCCACTCCCAGCTTCCCAAACTCTGGGTTTCCTTGTAGAATTCACATGCATTAAGGAGCATAAATTTAAAGACCTACTTTGAGGGTGAAACTTGAAACTTTTCAAGTATGCCAGATACCATCTCTGTTTCAATTCCATGTGATTGTTGAATTTGTAAACACTGACTCTCAATGTCAGTACAATTGGTAAACAGCAGAAACGGGTCATGACTTTATGATGTCAGACAACCATTTATGAAATTTGACTCTTAAAATCGATTCTATTTTTGAAGTATCTAAGTGTTTCTTTTTGGGTATACACATAGCTCAATAGCTCAACTGTCAGATAAAAGGTATAGTCTTTCAAATGGCTTTTCCTCCTAAAAAACTGGTGTATAATATTCTCCTCTTTCATGTAAATATATCAATTTTCTTCTCTCTACTGGTTCACAGAAGAGTGCCTGAAATGACCAGGGAGGAATGTGGGATATGTCTGTAGGCTTTAAAAGCTGGTAGTATCTCAGTGATCATAACCTGGTCTTAAATATGTGCTTAGCACATTGTTGATTGGGGGATTTTTGCAGAAACTAATCCCTGTGGCCATAATACACAATATGTAAGTCTCCAGTTAATAACGTGTTGAGTAAGAATAGGCCTGGTATTGGTAAGCATGGGCCTGGGATCATAAGATCCTGGGTCCACCACTTATGAGACTGTGGATGGATGACACCACCTCTCCATTTACGTTTTCTTAAAAACTTTTAAGATATGTACAGAAAAGTGTACATGTCATGACAGTATAGCTCTGTGATTTTTTTTTTTTTTTTAAAAACCAGACACACTCATGTAAAGAGCATATTCACATCCAGAAACAGGACGATAGAATACCTAGAAGTTGGGCTGTGTTCCCTTCTGGATACAGCTCCCTAATCCCTACCAAAGATAGCTGCTGTCCTGACTTCTGACTAGATTAGTTTTGCCTCTTTTTGTACCGAGAAGGACTAAGTACTGAGACTTCCCTGGCAGATCCAGTGGTTAAGACTTTGCCTTCTAATGTAGTGAGTGCGGATTCGATCCCTGGTTAGGGAGCTAAGATCCTACGTGCCTTGTGGCCAAAAAACCCAAAAAACGTAAAGCAGAACAATATTGTAACAAATTCAGTAAAGACTTAAAAAATTATCCACATCAAAAAAAAATCTTAGAAAGTACTGAGAATAATTGAAATTGCACAACGTGTTCTTTTCTCATATTGGGTCTTTCACTCCACATTCATTTGTGAGATTACACCTGCATTGCTGTGAGTAGCTGTAGATCGTTCATTCTCATGGCTTTGTCGTAGTCCATTGTTTGAATCTACTCATACTTTCTACTATTGAAGAACATCTGTATTTGTAGGCACTGGCTACTATGACTAGTTTTGCCATGACCATTTTTTGCCAAACCATTTTGTTTATGAGTTTGGGTGTAGGTAGGTGGCGCTAGTGGTAAAGAACTTGCCTGCCAATGCCGGAAACTAAACACATGGGTTCCATCCGTGGGTCCGGAAGATCCTCTGGAGGAAGACATGGTAACCCACTCCAGTATTCTTGCCAGGAGAATTCCATGGACAGAGAATCCTGGTGGGCTACAGTCCATGGGGGTCACAGAGTCAGACATGACTGAAGTGGCTTAGCACGCACGCTCACATACCCGGAAGTAGAATTTCTGAGTTGTACGGAGCTGTGTTCCGCTTCTGAAGATCGTGTCAGCACTATGGGAGCTGTGATTACTCTACATTCTTGCTAATACTTACTGTTGTTTATATTTAGCCATCCTGATGAATATGTGTTTTAAAAATTGGGGATAATAGATTGTACCTTGAAAGGTTGTTGTGAATTCAGTTAAGGTGTTTATCTTTGCTATCCAATATTGGACTCTTCCTTCGAACCATGGCCGTGGGCAACCCTTCTGGGCTTCCATTTCCTAAACTATAAATGAGACTATTGAGCTATAAATAACCCTTCATGCCCTTTTATTTCTAATAATGCTAAGCTCCGTAGTTGTAGATGCTTTGAAGGTACGGCACTAGTGAGAAGAGATTTCACTATCACTTAAATCTTAGTACATGAGCAATTGCCCACCTCTGCATAGGATTGGTCCAAGTGATGGTTCTCTTGCCTGTCAGTGAACAGTGCACTTCCTCCCCCAAATTCCAGGTTGCATGTATTAGGTAGGACATGGTACTGACAATCTCATGCCTGGGTGAGTAGGCTCGAAGCATTGCCAGCCCCCACCCCCCCCCAAACCCCTGCCAGAATATTCTCTAGGAAGGGAGTAACCCCACTCCTCACTTCGTCTCTCTATAGGGTTGCTATTGATTGCATTGAATCAATCATCAAGTTTATTTTTGTCATCAGTTATATGACTGGTCTTGTGCTGGATAGGAGCTTTGGATAGAAAAGATGTATGGCCTGTCTAGGAGACCAAAATCCTCAGAAGAGTGTGGTGGTTAAGATGGTGGGCTCAAGGGACTTCCTTGGTGGCCCAGTGGTTAAGACTGTGCTCCCAATGAGGGGGTGCAGGTTGGATCCCTGGTCAGGGAACTAAGATCTCACATGCCATATGGCATGCTACAAAAAAAAAAACAAAACAAAACTGGTGGACTCAAAGAGTTAGACAGTGTGGATTTTTATTTCTTTATTGCTACTCTGTGGCTGCTGCTGTTACCCACATTGAGAATTTAATAAAGTCTGACTCCGGAACCCCAATTTCTTAACTATGTGACCTTACTCTTCTGCAAGTTTAATTTCCTTATCAAAAAAAAAAAAATGAGGATAACAAAAACACCTAGCTCCCAGGAATGCAGTGAAGTGAGATTGTTTATGTGAAGTAGCAGGGTGTCCAACCCATAGTGAATATGCAGTGGCTTATTGTTATTTTGTTGTTTTATGATGGAAAGAATAATTTTAAACTTCCCATGGGGTGGATGATAGGATTGTGGAGAGGAGGTTGCTGTTAAATAAGTGAAGGTTTCATTTATGATTTTAGGTCCTGTCTGCAGCGTGTGTGTCTCATCTTTTGGAGCGAGAGCCGTGACAATCTTCAGTGGCTTCCTGGTGGCAGGAGGCCTGATGTTGAGCAGTTTTGCCCCCAATATCTACTTTCTGTTTTTTTCCTATGGCATTGTTGTAGGTAAGAAATCTGGTCACTATGATGCTTTTCTAAGCTTTGAGAGTTAAATGTCGTTTTAATGAATGACGTTAATGTAAGGAGTGAAAATGCTCAGGAATAATTCACTTTCAACCACCACTTCACCAAAAATTGTTGCTTTAATGAAATGCCCACCCAGTGAATTACAGTATGTCAAGGGATACTTGTGTTTTAACAGTGCACATTATGTTTTTTGCAAGGCATGGGAAGGGTTTTTTTAATTTTAGCACTTGTCTCTTTAGCACAACAAAGGAAAAGAGAGAGGGAAGAGTGAAACTTCGATGTCAATGACGCCTGCCACTTTTCACTGATGTAGGAAGTGGTCCCTTTCATATCGGTTGGTTGAACAGGGCTGTGTTGAACCGTTTGTGTTCTCAACATCCTGCTGTTCCGCAGTAGCTGTCACCAGGGCCTCAATCACAAGGTCATAGCAGAAGTAAAGAGTAGATTTTAAGCACATCATAATAATGATTGTTTTTGTGAAAGATAAGCTATGAGCAGACAAAACCGAGTAGTTAATGATGATCTTCGTTATAGGAGAGGAAAGGGTACAGGACTCAGGGCTTGAGAACACTGACAGTTTTGGGGGGAATACTTTTGTGATGTATTGTACTTGTTGTATTCTGTGTTGAACATCGCCAGACTTATGATTCCGAGGAGCTGTTGGGAATTTTTTAAAAACACCAGCTTTCAAAGTTTCTTCTGAATGTCTGAAAGACTTATTTTTCCTTCTAAATATTAAAAATGTATTTTGTAAACCAGATAGTCATGTATCATCTCTGTAAATCCAAATGTTCAGCTATTAGATTTTTTAAAAACAATACACCAGTGTTATATAAATTGGAGGGGAATCACAGTTGAAATACAGTGTAGGCAGAAGTTGTTCTAGTTTTTCATATTCAGTTTGAACAAATAGAAATGTGTATTAGTCACATAGAAATAGTTTATTATTCATTTATTTCTTAATTTTGGCCATGCCACACAGACTGCAGGTTCTTAGTCTCCTGACCAGGGATGGAACCTGGGTTTTCACCAGTGAAAGTGCAGAGTCCCAACCACTGGACCACCAGGGAATTCTTTAAATATTATATTTTAGATTGTAAAAATATTATTATCTGGTAAAATGTAATTGAATATTTGTGTAAGTAATGAAATGGTTAAGAAATGATTTGAGTTATGATCAGAGGAACAAAAGTTATACATCTATAGGAAGATTGACATTTTCCAAAAGAAATTCCAATAAAAGGTTAAACAACCTCAAACATTTGATGTAAAGAATGGGTTATTCCTGATTAACATGTTTTTGCTTTACTGTCAGAAAAGTTACAGCACATTTGATAAATGTATGTTAAGAGCCTATTTTCTAGACAGGAGTTCTGTAGTACCATCTATATGATATTGGTTCAGAAGTGGTGCCAAAATCCTTAGAACACAGTGTATTTGGGTGGAGGAAGATGTGCCTGCCAATGCTGACACAGCTAGTTAATAGGAGGAGAGGCCCCAGGGGAATAGACTGGAACCGGGGGAAGATCTCATCGCTACATGTGGCAACAAAGCAAAGAGTGCAGCTGGGCTGGACATGACCCAGACAGGGGCTGTAGTTAAGGATTTTGGTGTTTAAAGACTTCATGGACAAATTCCAGCAAAATGGCTGGTTTGAATCAAACCTGAAAGAAGCTAATTTTGTTGACAACCAATATTCTTCTTTTTCACATAGGAATATTCCCCTAATAATAAATGATGGAAATAATAACCTCTAATATTTGAGTTCATACTGTGTGTTCAGCTCTGTGCTTTATATGCTTTATGTGCTTTATATGTGGCTCAGTGGTAAAGACTCTGCCTGCCAAACAGGAGATAGCGTTCTATCCCTGGGTCAGGAAGATGCCCTGGAGAAGGAAATGGCAACCCACTCCAGTATTCTTGCCTGGGAAATCCCATGGACACAGGAACCTAGCAGGCTCCATGGGGTCACAGAGAGTCAGACATGACTTAGTGACAAACAACACCACCAACAACTGTACCCTAAGCTCTGTGCTTTATATGGTCTCATTCAGTCTTCATGTGAACACATTTTACAGAGAGGGAAAGTGAAGCTCAATGAAGTGAGATTACTAACCAAAGCTGCAAATCTGGGAGACTTGGGGTTAAATCCATTCAGTCTGACATCAGGTCCTGACCTTTTTTACATGTTTGTAATTGTTTTTAATGCTTTTAGAACTCTTAAAGTTTACTTTGAATTTAACTCCAAATACTCAAATTCTACTCAGATCATAATCTAAATAAGCAGGTTACTTAGTTCTTTGAGAACAGGTTATATGTGTGATATTTTATATTACCTATTCACTATAGTGTTTATTACAGTTTAAACCTGTACATGAAAATATGATCATCTCTGGTGTAAAATTTGAAAGTATTCATTGAATAGTCATCTTGAATTCTTTTCTAAAATCATGAAAATAAAAATATTGCTATTTGTGTATGGACATCAGATGACTCCTTGTAGGACAAACCCCTTTTAACATAGAAAATTAAATCATTATGTTATTGGTATGATTTGGGCATTTTCTCCAAAATTTTGGACTAAGCATTTAAAATTTCATGGGGTTTTACTGTCTCACATGATTTCAGAGTTAAGGTATAGCCTTTGTGATTACATATCCAAAGCTGTCACTGACTTAAAAAAATGATCTAAAGTGGGTGACACCATAGTATTTGTATTGCCACAGATAAAAATGAATTTTTAAAAAGAAAAAATATGAGTGTAGGTTGTCCAAGATTTTATGTGCATTTGATTGTGTTGGAAGCATATCTAAGGGTGTATAGAAAGACAGAGACAAAATTAACTAACCCCTATAATTAAATTTCAAGTTTTCTGTGGCAATGGAAAGAGCTTTATCAACGAGTACAACTGATTTTGATTTGGCTAATAGTGTTGGAACCTTTCACTAGCTAATCCTGTCCCCTCTCCTCCATGAACCTCTGATCTTCTATTCATGAGATAGGATTTGAGGCTTTTCTTGATTTACTCTGGGATTCCCCGGTGGCTCAGACAGTAAAGAGTCTGCCTGTAATGCAGGAGACTGGGGTTTGATCCCTGAGTCAGGAAGATCCCCTGGAGAAGGAAACGGCAACCCAGTCCAGCATTCTTGCCTGGAGAATCCCGTAGACAGAGGAGCCTGGCCGACTACAGTCCACGGGTCGCAAAGAGTCGGGCTTGACTGGGGACTTCACTTTTGCTTTTTGATTTACTCTGCTCTGCTGGTGGTGGTGGACTTGCAGATCTTCCACGTGGCTTTCTCCACTTTGGTAACTTTTACTCCCCTGGGCAAAGAGCAATGTGGAAAGAAGGTTATGCCACATATCATGTACGTGGGCTTCTCAGGTGGCACCAGTGGTAAAGGGCCGCCTGCCAATGCGGGAAACACGAGAGACTCAGTTTTGATCCCTGGGTCAGGAAGTTCCCCTGGAGTAGGAAATGGCAACCTACTCCAGTATTCTTGCCTGGAGAATTCCAGTGACAGAGGAGCTTGGCAGGCTGCAGATCATAGGCTTGCAAAGAGTCAGACATGACTGAGCACCCTCAAGCGACCACACTGCTATTAAACCTATAAGAACCTTACTGTTCCAGTTTAATATTAGGAACTGGGTAAAGAACTGTATGATGTGCCCATGGACTCAGTAGACTCACTGTGAGCAGGACCAGGGCCATGGTCCCATATATTCCCTGGCTCCCATGAGATCCCATTCTAAGGGGAGGCCAGTGTCTCAGGCCCCTGGCTAACAGTGCCAGTTCTACCTGTGTCCTACCCTGCTCAAAGGCATCCCACTTTCTCCAGTGTATGATATCTAAATAAGTGATTGTAGTTCTCTTCGGGGAATGATCCAAGATGTTATTATCTATTTGTCATAGTGTTTTTTGCAATGTCTTTTCTTCTGGAATCCTGGCCTCTCCTTCACGTCATGGAACCTGGGGCAGAAAACAGGCCTATGGGGACTTCTCTGGCACTCCAGGGGTTAAGACTCTGTGCTTCCATTGCAGAAGGACAGAGTTCACTCCCTGGTCGGGGAACTAGGATCCTACATTCAGCATGGCCAAAACAAAAACAGAAACATAGTCACAATTCTGATTAAAAAAAGAGCAAAGCAAGCTATGTCTGAAGATTGCGTGACTCTGATTTGGCAACAGATTCTGGATCTCTGTGACTAGGAGAAAAGTATAAGCTCAGGGAGAGAGCACTGAGCTTCGGGTCAGGAGATACAGGTTCTGTGAGTTTGTGCAAAGCCCTTGATCTCCAATAGTGACTGTCTCATCTGTGAAGGCAAACTAAGAAACCTGCATCACACAGGTCTTGTAAGGATTAGGTGAAATCAAGCAAAATAAAAATAAGATATGTAAGAGTGTTGTTGGATTTCAATAGCAAAAAATCAGTTGAACTTTCATTTCAATAATTATTTTGTAATTTCCAATAATTTTCAAGTTTTAATTTCAATAATTAAAAAGTCACTCACTGTAGTAATTATTGGACTTCTTTGCTAGTAGATTATTAACAGTTCTTATCATGGTTGACTTCTTTGTGGTTTTGTTAGTAGGCTCAGAGTATAGGGCTCATAGAATATTCGTGGGTTAAAGAAATGGGAATTTAATGAACAATGACACTTTCATCTGTTCCCATTGAAAGCAGGGTATCCAGTTGAAAAGGAAGAGACAGGAAATTATAACACAGTCTAAACTTACAAGTTGAGACTGTATATTATGAATTCCTTTGAAAAAAACAAGAAAGATTCAGTCTAATGGTAACATATATTGGGCACGCATTCTGTGCAGTATTCTAAGCATTTTCCTCCATCTGGAATGAACTAGATGGTCTCTTAAGAAAGGCAGTATGGCATACGAAGGAGCAAGCACTATCAAGGGTTGGACCATGTGGGTTAATCTTCTCTTACTCACTTGCTAGCCTCATGGAATACAGACAAGTTAC